ACTGCCACATCTCTCTCCCATGGAGTAGCTGGGGGGGTTCAAACTGCCATCCTTTGGGTTAGCAGCTGAGTGCTTAACCACTGTGCTACCAGGGCTCTGGAAAAAAAATCAGGTGTTCAGATTTGGACTTGCTGAGTTTGAGATGTCTACTTGATAGCCAAGTGGAGATGAATAGTACACAGGCCCTGTTACCAAGGTGCTCAAAGTTATAGAAATAGAAATATGGAATCAGATCATTACAATACCTGTGAAAAGTGTTATTTCAGAGGAGTGCACAGAAAAGCAAGTTATTACCTCTGCTTGCAGTGGGGTGGGGGTGGCTTAGGAAAGGCTTCACAAAGGAAGTGACATTTTTAGTTTGGTCCTGAAGGGTGACTAGGTGGTCAAAGGTCTTATTTTCTGTATTTCTGAACCCTGGGACAGAGTGGCTGCTCAATTAGACTCAACTCAGCCACTAGCTGTGTGACTTTGGACATAATTTAACTTCTCTGTGCTTCAATTCACTGAGTCAGAATCGACTCGACAGCAACAGGTTTGGTGCTTCAATTTCTTGATCTGTGAAATGGAAATAATCATAGGATTATTAATGTAGAACACCTAGCACATGACCTGGCACATAGTGGGTTAGTGTTAGTTATTGTTACTGAATAAATGAATGCATGAATATGGTAACCAGGAGCATAAAGTCTTTCACATGTTCAGCAGTTTGTCAACAGAGAGTACTAGACTCCTTTCCTAACAACAACAACAAAGGTGGTTCAGGAAAAAAGCCCCCTATAGCCTGGGCCCTCTGAACTGCTGTGATTGAGGAACAAGCGTTGCTAAACCTGGAGTGAATGGGGAGTGTCAAACTGAGCCTCCCCACCCCCCCATCCCACTGACTAGTCAAAAAATGAATGTAAAACTCCATTAGATTTATAGTAAGCTTGTCTTCACTCTGCAGGCTCTCTGAGACTCAGACTGGGCTGGGTTGGCAAGCCTGGAAGGAGGTCGGTAACACTGAGGTGCTTTGACACTGACATCAGAACCCCCTCCCTACTGCTTAGGGCTCCATCCTGAGGCCCCAGGGAGACAGGCACCCCCTACAGGCCGAGAGCAGCCGCACACCCCTGCATGTGGCCATGGTTGCTAGGCACCGGGCCAACCTGCGCTGAGACTGAGATGGAGGAGTTCATGAAGCGATTTTCGAGGAGGAGAGAGACCATTTCTCTCTCCATCCACCCTCTCTCTCCCACCTTCAGTAAATAGATGGGGTGGGGGCGGTGCAGCCTGCTGCTGTTTGATAATCTGGACTCATTTTTGAAAGTAGCACTTCATCAGTTGACCTCATGTGAACTTGTTCACTACAGATTAGTAAGGAAGCACAAGTAAGCCTGTGCTTACCTTGCTTACTGGGTCATCTACTCCTGTCAGGGCTTGTAAATTTGAAAAGAGGCTTTGATTCTGTAGGAAAGTGCTGTGGGGTTGGGACAGAGACAGATGCCAGGGAGAGAGCAGCAGAATCTTTGATGTGGTGAAAAAGTGTGAAATTGTTCACTACAGATGATCTGGTAAGCAAGGTAAGTACCGTGCTTATCTTATCTAATAAGCAACGTGCTTACCTTGCTTATTGGATAATCTGCCCCTGGCTATTGCTGTGGGTGTACGTCCTCTGTCAATGGGAATTCTAGCAAATTGGGCATGAGTGAGAATTATCTGTGTGATTAGGCTAAGTTATCAAGCTTTCCCCACCATTCCCCATGTATGGGTTAGGGCACTACTTTAGCCCATTAAAATAAAAAGACTCTTGGGAATGACAATATATAAATGATCATTCATATTTCGTTGCTGTCATGGATTGAATTGTGTCGCCGAAAAATATCTGTTAACTTGGCTAGGTCATGATTCCCAGTATTGTATGATTGTCTACCATTTTGTCATCTGATGTGATTTCCCTACGTGTTGTAAATTCTATCACTATGAGGTAATAAGATGGATTCGCGGCAGTTATATTGATGAGGTCTACAAGATTAGATAGTGTCTTAAGCCAATCCCTTTTGAGATATAAAAGAGAGGAGTGAGCTGAGAAACAGGGGACCTCATACCACCAAGAAAGCAGCACCGGGAGCAGAGCGCATCCTTTGGACCCGGGGTCCCTGCACCTGAGAAGCTCCCAGACCAAGGGAAGATTGATTACACGGACCTTCCTCCAGAGCTGACAGAGAAAGCCTTCCCCTGGAGCTGACGCCCTGAATTTGGACTTGTAGCCTACTAGACTGTGAGAGAGTAAATTTCTCTTTGTTAAAGCCATCCACTTGTGGTATTTCTGTTATAGCAGCACTAGATGACTAAGACAGATGGGGGACAAGTTTCTCAGTGAGTTTCCTGAATTAGGTTTCTCTACAGAGAAGAAAGGAGAGACTGTGAGGTCCGTGGACCCCTGTGAGTAGGGACGGAGCCCAGTAAGAGAGAAAGAAATAAAAAGAATGGGAGAATGATAAACAGAATTTGGCAGCTTCCTAGTGCAGGGACTGGTTTGGGGATCCCCAGCTCTGTGTCCCTCTGTTAGGGCTATGCACCTTGTCCTTATGTGGGCCTTTGGGAACCAGAATCTACAGCTTTTTCTCCTAACAACCTAGAATTATGGCCTGAAGTAGACTCAGGCAGGCCAAGGCTGTGGCCACAATAACCCCTCCACTTGGGACTTGTCTCTTCCCTCTCAGCTAGTACAACAGAAACTTCATTGTGGCAGAGCCCCCAAGTCATGGCAAACTATGGGAGAGCTCTGCGCATTGTAGACTTTTCCTCAAGAGTTCCAAGACATATATACCAGGCTGAGGTAACTGGCAGCCAGAGAGCATCTGGCCCAGCCACTGCATCAATCCACATCATCTCCACAGGGCATGATGGCAGGGGAGGCTCCTTGCTCCGTGTGCTTCCAAACTGAACTGGGTCGGGACTGTGCTTCGGCTCTATTAATAACCCCCTAGCCCAGCCGGTTAGCCCCAAACCTGCATGTCAGGAGCTGTGAGTCAGCAGCTAAAAATAATGGAGAGCGACTGCACCCGAACTCCATCGAGCAGCTCCCCCTGGCCCTCCACCCTCAAGTTTTTGTCAGCCTCAAGTCTCCAGTCCAGGACCTCATAGAGGAGAAGTACGCCACAGCTGTCCAGTTCTCCTGGGAAGAGAGTAGGGATTTGCGGTGGCAGCCCCAGGACTGAAGTACCCAGGGTTAGGGGTTAGGGCTGGATCCCGGCCGTCTGGGGCATTTTGGCTCGGTGTCTGGACGCTGAGGTTAGAGGACTGCAGCTGAGGACCTGGGAGCTGGGAGGCTGGGACTGCGGGGGTGGAGACGCTGGAGGTTGTCATGGTGAGGTCGAGAGGGGAGGGAACAGGCTAAAGAGCTTTGAGGCTGGGAGACTGGAAGGGGACAGAAAAGTAGGGATAGCGGGAGGAGGTACATGCTGAGAGGTGAGAGCCCGGCAGTGCCTGACTGGGCGCTCCAGAGCTGAGGTCGGTGGTCGGCCTGACTGAAGGGCAGGATCGGGAGTGGAGAAAACTAAGGAAATGCAGGTTGAAAAGGCAGTGTGTGAAGAAGACTTGCCCGGTACAAAGCAGCATCGACCCGCAAAAAGACTGGGAGCAGGGTAGCGGCCAGCAGCGTTTGCTCCCGGAGAGCCTCCCGCCTTCTCGCCAGTCGCACGCCAGTGCCCCCGCCCACTGCCGCCAGCTGCAGACCAGGTATGTTGGTGCGCGCGCCTGCGTGTGTATGTATGTGCGTGTGTGTTCATGGCGGGGGCGGGGCGGCGAGAGAAGGGAAGGGGTGGGGTCCGGGAGGAGGAGGGGGCGGGAACACAAAGTCAAACTCGCCTCCGTCAATCCCGAGACCGGAAGTAGCCAGAGGCATCCTGGGAATTGTAGTTTCTGTGGCTGCCCTGCAACGGAGGGGTGAGATCTTGTCGCGAGGCAGTAGTGCTGCCCCACGTCTCAGTCTGGAAAGAGAGGAGGAATCGGGAACCGAACCTCCTGACCTTGCCAGCGCCTTAATTCTATTTCCCTTCGTGTGGGGACACAAACCAGGGCGAATGTTGGTGCGGTGGGGAACTGTAGGGTCAACCACAGAGCCCCCTGCTGTCCCCATTTTTGCCTTGGCCCACCCCTCCCACCAGATTCCTCATCCTAGGCCAGCTCCGCATTGGCCACCTCAACTGCTTTTAAGGAACCCAAGAGTAGTCGACACACTGAGGAACGTGCTCCTCGATGGGGAGGCTAGGCCGGAAACTAGACCCTGCGCGCGGCCCAGAGAAGCGAAAACTTGTGGGTTCGGAGCCAAGGACATAAGTACCCAACCGGCAAGGGGAACAGGTGGCATCCAGCAAATATGTCAACGGTGATGACGGACACGGCCCTCCTCTTGGGGCAGGTGTCCACAAGGTGGCGCTACAACGCAACTCTGCACAGCGTGCCTAGGCCAACGGGAACGCCCCCTGTGGCGGCTTCTCTCTGGCTTCCCCCTTGCAGCTCTTCATTGCCTTAGGTGGTTCTCCTCCCACCCCCAACCCATGAATCTCCCTACGAAGACACCCCCCCCGCGTCACCTCCAATGTCATGTCACATCCAACCCTAGAAGGAAGGTACATCCTCCTCCCAGCCTCAGAACTGAAAAGATTAGACTGTGACCAAGTAGAAATTAAATTCATTGAATAACAGATGAACAGACAAGATACAGGAACCAACCTGTCTTGAAGAAAAGGCTGTGTACAGCAAAAAAGCCACCTGTAGCCACAGAATTACATGGCTAGATGGGCTCTTTAGCCCCCAGCCTCTAGGCCAGAAAGCAGCTAGCAGGGGTCAGAGGAGACAGTGCATGAGGTGGGGAAGATGTCTTAATCATCTTACAGTTCTCCAGGAAAGGCCATTTTGTCATATCCTTCCATCACTCTTCCATGCTGTCCCACCCCTGACACAACCTGTGCCTTCTACACAAGAGCATGTGCACACAGGTCTGCAACATTATCTTGGCAGTCTCCCTTTCACATCCTCTGTTCTAGTTTCATTTTGGGAGAAACTTCTCATGACTCACTGTCTTCCCAACCACCTCAGGTCAAAACCTCAAAGGGAGTAGATATGGCAGCTTGGGGTTTGCCCACCATCTGGGCACAGGGCCCCTTCGTGGTTCCAAACCTCCTGTTTCCAAAGTTCTCCCCACCAACTGCCTACCCCTGAGACATTCTACCATTCTCCCTTCCTTCTTGTTGGGCAATGCAGACAGGCCTCAGGCTCCAGTTGGTGAGGGGCCAGGGCAGGGCATTCACTCCATTATGAAATCGTTGATCCTGGTCAGCAGCACTGCTGTTTCCAAGCCTGGGGAGGGGAGGAGAGGGTAGAGCATACTGGGAGTGAGCTAAAGGGAAGGCTAGAGGAGGAGAAAAATGAAGTATGTGGGGGGAGTTCTTACCAGTTCTCTCTCTCTTCTTAGCACATCTCCTATAGGAAGAAAAGCTTCCCACTGTAGGTTCAGCCATCTTCAAGCAGAACCTTCTGACCCCAGGTTTCCCCTAACTGCCTTTCCCAGATTCAAACCAATTTGATGGTATAGGGTCTAAGGATCTCAAACGAACCAACCAAATCAAACCGCAAGCCACAGGCAGCATATCTGATTCCAAATCAGCCTCATCAGCAGGGGCCTGGGGAGAATGAATACCCAGAAAGCTGAGGCACAAGGCACTCACCCTTGAAGAAGGAAGGTCCACAAAAGCAGCAGGGTGGAGACACAATTGGTGATGGTCCACATCATTAGGTAGGTTTGAGGGGGCTATGGGAATAGGAAAAGGCCCCTATTGGTGGCCAGAGCACCAAGGGTAGTGTATGGGGTGGGGGGAATAAGTGAGGAAGAAAGGGCTAGGGTTAAGGAGAACCAGGGATGGGAGAAGGAGAGAAGGGGTGACAGTCTCAAAGCCCTTACAATAAGCCAGATGGGGTATTGCATCTGCTGCAGCAGCTGGCAGTCGTTGGTGGTGACCGAATCTACCCCTGCACACCAGAGTAGGGAGAAGAGCCATGGCTTGTTCACTACAAATAGGTTCACCGAGACGTTATCCTGGTGCAATGCCCTGTGGAGGTGAAAAACCAAATACATGGACTATCCAGAATCATGGGGCACAAGGAATGGGAGGCAGCCTTCTGTTTGTATTTGAATCTATAGTGTCATTGCCAAGAAGGTATCAGTTCTGCCCTTGCATAGCAACCCCTGACCAAAAGTTACTTTCTTTGTGTAGCTGTACTCTGTCTCCTGGTGAATTCCACCCATGGGTGTTAGCTTTGCCACCTGGAGCCACATGAATGTGTCTCTTCCCCTTGTCCCATGACAGCCCTTCAGAGGTCTGAGGAACAGAGACTAGGTCTCCTGAGTCTTCTCTCTTCCAGGCCCAACAGCCCCAGTTCCTTCAACCATTACTCTTGGGACGCAGGTTACTGTTCCCTTCACCAAACAAATTTCTCTAATCTTATCGTACTCCAATTTATCAACATTCCTTTTAAAATATGGGGCTTCCATCTGAAAATGATATCCCAGGTGGGCCTGGGCCAGCTTTGAGTAGAGCAAAACTATCTCTTCCTGTCTTCTGGGCACTATACCAGTATGAATGTAGTCCAGAGTCAGGTTAGCTTTTGGCAATGTCACATCCCACTGATGACCCACACTGTGCATGCTGTTCAATCAAAGCTCTGGCCTTTTTCATACATCTTCTGGCTAATGTCAGTGTCTCTGCTCTTGTCTGTGCAATTGAGCTTCTTTTAGCCCCCAGTATAGGTCCTTACATTTATTTCTGCTGCATTTCATCTTGGTAGAATTGGTCCATCACTTTAGAGTATTTAGACCTTTCTGGGCCTCAATTTTGTCATTAGTGTATTTGTTACCAATTCATGTCTTTTGGAAACATGATCAGCAGTCGATGTTGACCAGGACAAGATTGAGATGAGGGCCAAACCCTGTGTCATGTCTCCCTCCATGGTGACAACTTGGGGAGAGGTTCTAAAAATACTTAGGATAACTGGTCTATCATTCAGTCCACATTTTTCTATCTGACCACAAGGGAATTATAAGAGACCTTGGCAACCACTGATGCTTTGAAGTCCATCTTATTTACTGGCTGGGCCATGTTCTGCAGCCCAGTGCACATCTGGTACTCTCTTGCCTCTCACTTACCTGAACCCGTCCTCTCTTGCACTGAACTCTTTGGTATAAAATAAAAGCTAAAATCCTTGTCATGGCCTACAAGGTCCTACCCAATTTGGCCCCTGCCTACCTCTCCAACCTTGCCTTCGCCTTGTTCATTAGGCTTTTGTCCCTGCTCTTCTGTGGATTTTCTCACAGTTAGTCCTTATGACCATTCAGGTCTCAGCTCACACATCACCTCTTTAGCCACTCTTCCTAATGTAGTCCACTCTAGCCCCCACTCCAAACCCCAATCACTCTATTACATCTCTCTTTTATTGTCTTCATAACACTAGTCACTATCCGATATACATATATTTTGTTAGTGGTTTGTTGTCTGTCTCTTTCACTAGTATATAAATTCCATAAAAGCAAGGACCTTGTTTGTCTTATCCACGTTGTGTCCCCAAAGCCTACAATAAACATTGCCTGACACACAGCAAGTATTCAAAAATATTTGTTGTATGAGTGAATGAATGAATAGCCTTTACTCTCCTGCATTGGTCCTTCCCCACCACTAAGCCTCATGTGATCCCTGCAGTTCTTATCCTCTGGCACTCACTTGATATCCAACAGTGGCAGGTTTTGATAGGGGAGGTTGAGAAACTGGGGCCTCTCAGTTCTGTTGCCTCCCTGCTCTCCATATATTTGGCGCATTCTGGGAGCCCGTTGTTGGACATAAGCCCGATCTTCATCTGGTAGCCAAAGGACCTGTGGATTAGGGTGGATGGGTATGAAGCTGGAGCTGACACAGGGGTTACATGGAATGGGGCAAGGGCAGAGAGGTTTCACCACAGAATGGGGTATATGAGCTGGGGCAGGGGGCAACCTCAAAATCATCACCAGGGCCCAGGGAAGGTAGGGTGAGGAAAGGGGTGAAGGGGGCCATAGGGGTCCTGGCAACATCACCATGGCCTGGGGAACCCTTGCCCTCAGCACAGTCTCCAGTGTCTGGTTCACAAAAGTGTCATGGTATGTGTGGTTTCGTGGGGGGCGGCGCAAGTCAAACATGATGGAGAGGTTGAGGACTGCAGCTTCCTTCAATAACTCTTCTAATGCTGGTACTCTCTGATTCTCAGCCTCTTTCCAATCAGGGCCTGAGAGTCTCTTGGCCCCCCAGAAGGGTTGCCTCTATAAGAATAGGAAAATCATTTAAAAAAGAAAAAAAAAAAGGACAATCATTTCAAGACCAGAAGAGGCCTCCAGGCCAGCCCTCCATCCTCACCCTCTTCACTCATTTTCCCCACTTGGTGTTCAGTTTCTGTCCACCTCTGAGCCAGGTTTCTTTCTCAAAACTGTGGCCTTCTCCCAGACCCTCTAATATCTTACTCTGTGACCTCAGGCTCTACCCTGCCAGTTTTCTAAATTCCTCTTTCCCACTATACCTTCTCTTTGGTCTAAGGGAGACTTCTGAGATCTTGGCTCCTTGGTTTCCTCACAATCCATTAGCCCCTTTGTGGCCGTACCTACATCCCCAAGACATGGTCCATCCATAGCTTGAACTACCTTTCCACAGCACTCTCAACTCCCTTACTGCTCCATCTGCCCTACAAATCCAAAGCTCTGATTCAGTTCTACAATCTACCTTCTGCACCCCTATAATTGGGGGGACTGGGCACTACCGTGGGCAGAGCACACCTTACGGACTGTTGCCACTACAGTCCTATTTTTTGCTCAGTTCTGCTTAGCAATCCTTTTACTTGTTCTTGATTTGCTCCCTCTCTCATTTCCCCTGGTGGCGTAGTGGTTAAGTGCTACAGCTGGTAATCAAAAGATGGGCAGTTCATATCTACCAGCCACTCCTTGGAAACCCTATGCGGCAGTTCTACTCTGACCTATAAGGTCACTATGAGTCAGAATCGACTCAATGCCAACGGTTTTTTTTTTTTCTCATTCACCCTAGTGGCTATTCCAAGCCTCTGCCATTCTCCTCTGCTCCCCTTGCTATCAACAAAAGACCTTACCTCCTAATTACTGTCATGGGAAAAGCTAGCTATCTAACATTTATTGAGTAATTAAGTACTGCCAGGAAGTGTTCTAAGTACTTTATGTTTATTAACTTATTTAATCATCCCAATAACCCTAAAAGATAGGTACTTTTATTATTCCCATTTTATAGATGAGGAAATTGAGGCATAGATTAAGGAATGTTCCTCGGGGTCACACAGCTAGTAAGCGGTGGAGCCAGGATTCAAACCCATGTAGCCCTTGCTCTTAATCACTCTGATATACCATAATATATAGAGTTAAATGAAAAAAAAAGCAAGTTGCAAAAGAGTATGTATAGTATAGTGATCTTATTTGTACAAAATAAAAAAGCATATATATATATATATATACACACATATATGGAGCCCTGGTGGCATAGTGGTTAAGAGCTCAGCTGCTAACCGAAAGGTCAGCAGTTTGAATCTACCAAATGCTCCTTGGAAACCCTATGGGGCAGTTCTACTCTGTCCTGTAGGGTCGCTATGAGTTGGAATCAACTTGACGGCAATGGGTTTTATCTATCTATCTAAAGGAATATATACCCAACTGTCAACAGTGAATACCTCAGAGGGGCTGGATTATGAGGAACTTTACAATTTTTACAGTATTTCTCTGGTGTTTTACTTTTTTACAATGAACATTTTGTAATCAGAAAAAGAGAAACTGAAAAAATAAAGTATCCTTTTAGATATTTTTCATCGCCTACAGTATTCATGTCCACACTTCTGGGCATGCCATTCAAAGCCCTTCAAGACCAGGCCTCTGCTCACCTTGCCCCCAGAGCTTGCCAGTTTCATCTCCTACCACTCCAGTGAATTTTACCTTCCAGTTATACTGAGCTACTTTTAGTTCCCTGAAAACACACTTTATCATACTTCTGGGCTTTATACATGTTCTTCCCTCTGACTAGAATTCCCTTTCCCAGCCTTGCCCATCTTAAAAAAAAAACAAAACTGTCGTTGATATGCTGCTCAGGCATCCTCTCCTCTGTGAAGCCACTCCTAATCCCCTCTCACACCCACCCTGACAAATAGAGGCTTCTCTCTTTTTCTTCTCTACCTGGTAAACATCTTTATTGCTCTAGGTATCATATTCTACTAGCCTGTTGCTTAAGCTCTTTTCTTTACTGGATGGGAGTGACTTGAGGACAGAGACCATATTCCTATTGCCCAGCACAGCACTCAGCAAATGCTTATCAATGGAATGAACTCTGACCCTCCAGGTGGCTGTCTCTCCCCAGAGGCTGTCCTCACCTCTAGGAACCAGGCCCCAGCATTGAGTCTCTTCAGTTCAGCCCAGGAGAAGTCGCTGCTATGGGCTGTGATTCGGGCTGGGAACACAGAGGCCACATCTGTGGTCCTGCTCAGGTGCTCATCATGCATGAGGAAGGGGACCCCGTCACAGCTGAGGGTACAAGGGATGTCAGAGGGGCAAGCTTTGGGACTGATGGTCATTTCCTGAGCTCTCCTGCTGTGCCCCGCAGCCCCTCAGATCCCCCAGTCCCCAGCCTCCCTCACCTGACCATCACATCTGTCTCAAACACAGCAGCTCCACATTCAGCTGTCTTCCGCAAGGACATCAGGGTGTTCTCGGGGGCCAGCTGGGAAAGGGAATCAGCGAGGAGGTAGTAGGGAAGGATGGGAGCCTGGGAACCCACAGGCCTGGCTGCTGCAGCCTGAAAGAGCAGTCCCCCACCACCCTCCCAGCATTCTGCCCAACACTCACCATGGGGGCCCCTCGGTGTCCCACCAGCCGAGGCTTGGGGGGTAAGTCTCTGGGTTCCATGATGCAGGGTGAGGAGATGCATAGAGGGGCCAGGTAGATGGCCAGGGCAACTCCAAAAAATAGGAGCAGTAGCAGAATCTTGGGACCTGTGGGGAGTGGGGGACAGGCTATGGAGAAAGGGCAGTGGGTGAGCTCTGGGGGCGGAAAGCAAAGTTCAGGGGCAGGAAACGTGGGCTACAGGAGACAGAAGCATAGACAGCCAGTGAGGACTTGTAGGGAAGTGGGGTTGGCACCTCTTCTATGGATACGGTAGAAGGTATCAGCCACAGACCAGGCCAGGAGGGTGATTCCAGCCACTGCTCCGATATGAAGGAATGGGGCTGTGGCCTGTGGACAAGAGTTGGTGAGAAGGGGTCTTCTTCCTGGTGCCCCCTCCTTCTTCTGTTTGGAGTTCAGAGCTTCCTGCAGTCTTGGGGGACCAGGGAGCAAGATACATTCTGAGGTTGGCCGCAGGCAGAGGCTCCAACCTGAGCATTAGAAATCGGCCACTCACCTGCAGTGACAGATGTAAGCTACGCCACTCCTGCTTCCATTGGATGTCCAGTCCCATAAGGCCAGCGGCCACAAGAAGCATGATAAGCAGCAGCAGCACCTGGGGGATCAGGGATGACTGGAGCCTTCTCTGTCAACCTGGGCTCATAGCTACCTGGGCTGCCCCCTCACTCTATGGAGACAGGACCCCTCCCTTCCCCTGACTCACCCACTGACCTTCTTTCACTCAACAAATATTTACTGGGCTTCAGGTCTTGGGCTAGACCTTGGAGATATTACGGTGAAGTCCTTGTCAAATAGCCGGCCAAGCCCTGGGCCCCAGTGGCTCCCTCTCTCCCCGGCCCCCATCCTCACTATACCTTGTGGAGACTGTGCAGATGCAGAGGCTGTCTACAGAGTTGCAGGAGCAGGGCCAGGAGCTGGGGGTCGAGGGTGGTTGGAATAATCAGGTGCCAAGGGAGGGCAAGGTCACTAAGGTGGGCTTCCCAGGCTGATACTTCCCTCTCACCCAAAAATTAGCCCCCTCCCCTCATTGGCTAGGGTTAGAACAAGGGGGTAGAGCTGAGCAGAAAGGAAAGGCTGAGCTGGGGGTTTAGGTCGGCTGCCCCTGGACCCACCAATAGCAGGGATGCATATGTGACCAGTAGAGAGATGACCAGCAGGAATGCCAGGGACCAGTCCATCCAGTGTCCCCAGCGGTGGAATAGGAATCTGTGGGAGGGGAGAGGGAGGTGTCCAAGTGGGGGAAGGGCTGTCAATAGTGGCCTGAGGGAAGTTGGTGGGTGAATCTAGAAGGAGGACTAGAAGGGGGTGATGATGGGAAAGCCCTTCATGGTGCCAGGGGCTCCAAGGATGGGGGAGACTTTGTGGAGGGATTTTCTAGGGAGGTTGGATAGCAGGAGAGCTGGGCTTGAGGGGCTGGGCAGGGCTGAGGGATAACTGATGATAGGGGCTGAGCACCCGGGGGTCCTAGGCTGGACAGTAGGGTAACATGTATGCTGAGGAAGAGGGGGAGTCCATGACACACTCATTGAAGTTGTGCAGGTCATTGAGAAGGATGAGCCCGATGTACAGCCAGCCCAGGGAGAGGAGGAAGGTGAGGAAGAGCAGGCCAAACCAGATACAGTCGCACTGCAAAGGGGCAGGAGAGAAGCTCACAGCCAATCCCTCTTTTCAAGCCCAGAATCCCCTATGCATGGCAGCTTAAGGGGGCTTCCTGCCATGCATTGGGCCATTCTGTTCTGGGGGCAGCTTTTTCCATATTTGAGGGCGATTTTCTTCCTGGGGAGAGAAAGCCCCTTCCCCCCAGCTGCCTATGAGCACAATTGTCCTCCTTATCCCCTCCGATTGGCCTCTGCCTTCTGACTTCCAGCCAGAGGCCTAACTAGGGGGGAGGGGAGGGAGGTAGAGCACTTGCCCTAGGCACCACTTGAGGTGGGGCACCAGTTAGCAATTTCTATGGGTCGTCACAGTTTCCATCACCAGCTGTGATAGATCATTCAGCAATTTAACACTAATTGCCCTAGACGCTGTTTTCCAGTAGTTAGGCCCCTGCTTCCATCCTCCCCCCTCCATCCCTACTCCACCTTGCTGGTTTGCATCCTCTCTTTGGGGGATTTCCTCCAGTGGCAGCTATACAGGAAGTGGAGGCACTGGGCCCAGACGGAGCAGCAGCCGGGGGACTCTGCCATGGTGAGGGCCTGGGGGAAGGACACTCAGCCATCAGGGCCTCTGGCAGAGGGCAGATCCCAGCCTCCCTCCCAATGTATCTGAGGAGCCTGAGGAAGGGAGCAGAGGCATAGGCCCCTGCTCAGCAACAGAGGTCAAGGGGCAGACCCAGAGTGCCGGATTGGATGAGGAGATAAGCAGCCCTGGCTCTAAGCCTGGCACAAGGTATAATCTCCAGGGTCTTTCTTTGCCTTTAATCTTGATACCTGGAAAGTCAGTGGGACACCAGGAGGCCCTGCCTCATTGCACACACCCCCTCGCTCCAATTCCTCCCCATTTAACAGCATCAAGCTCCGGGGATGGAGTGTTTGACCTGGGTGGGGCAAGTTGAGGCATATCTGGCCGAGCTTGAGGCAGCTCCATGATGGGAAGCATTCCACCCCGGGAACCAGAAGTAACCTGAAGTAGAGGCTCCAGTTCTGACCTGGGGCTATGGGAGGCCCAGCTAGCTGGCCAGTTGCTATGGATACAGAGATCACACACATCACAAAGCCCAGACTGAAAGATTTTCTGTCTCCACCTCCCAGGGGCAGGGGCCACTGCCAGTGAAGGCAAAGACTTGAGGGGAACAGGTTTCCTGGGTCACCCCCAGCCTTTTCCTACCCACACACTCCTGGAAAATCCAAGCCCCCAGCCCCAGTCCTGTCCAGTCATCTCCCCACCCCAACCAAGAATCTAGTCCCCGCCTTCCCCTTTTCTGGGGCCCCACCCTCTGAGTTACCTTCGGTGAAAGTACAATAAATACAGGGCAGGGTGTGTGTGCTGGGGGAGGTGTGGCTGTCTTGGGGCAGGGGATCCCTTACCTTGTGCTTCTGGGTCTGATTGAGATGGAGCTGATTTACTGATCCCCAAACTGGCCTGTGAGATTGTGATTCTCCATGAGAGTGTGTGCGATTTGTGTCAGCATATGTATGTGTGTGCGCACAAGCGGCTGTCAATACAACAGGGTTTCTAGGTGACTTTGAGTATGCAAAGGAACCCCTGGATACACCCAAAGAGAGAGTGTGTGTATGTGTGTGTGTGTGGGGGGGGGGTGTCCAAAGGGACACAACCCCTTGTCCTCTGGGCTACCCTGTGGAGCTGGGCCCCTGCAAGGAGGAAGGGTGTGGCAGGCATAAAATTGCTCCTGAAACTTCTCTCCTGACCCTGTGCTCACCTTGGGAAAGCAGAGTTAGGGTAGGGGCTGGAGGGGTGGGGGTGGGGGTCGGGGATAGAGAGAGGGGTGAGGGAAGGAAACCTCTCCCCTCCCAGGAAAAAGCCATCCCAAAGGGAGGCCCCTGACTCTTCCCATCCCGAAACTGGGTTGCCCTGGGCTCCAGTCTGCACCTCCTGCCTCCCCTCAGGTCCTGCCCCTGTACTCCAGACTCTGCCTTCCAGAGTCCCACCTACCTCCAGGAGCTATCTGTAGGATGGGATCAGGGAGCTGAGAAGGGGTGCTGCTATCCAGGGCCCAATCCTTGCTGGTTGGAGCCAGTCTCCACCCTGCCCCTCCCTACTGTAACCTCCAACCTGCCCAGACCCTCACACCTGTTTTCAGCGGCAGCTCTGCTCTTGCTTCCCAGCTCCTCTCCGAGTTGTCTGCCTCCTCCCTCTTCCAGTTCTTGGCCCAACCCCACCCGTCAAACAGGTGGCACTGTTGCCACCTATAGGAGGCTGTGCTGGTCCTCTCCGAAGGCCTGCAGCTGCTCTATGGCCTGTGCCCAGTTGGGTGAGAAGATGGGATGGAGGAAGGGGGAGGGAGAGCAGATCTGCTTCTTTACTCGCTGGCGGTCAGCGGGCTTGGGGTGAGGAATTCCTTTGTGCAGCCTTCCCCATCCCTCCGTCCCTCCTCCTGTTCCCCTCCCAGTCACTGCAGGGCTTTGTCCTGGCTCAGGGAGGAGAGGGCTGAGGGCGGGAATCTGGGAGGAGGGGGTGACCACAGAACTTTGCAACTTGGCAGTGAGAAGGATCCCAGCAACCCCCCTGGAAAGGGGTGTGTGTAAGGAAGTCTAGCATCTAGTCTTAAGCTCTCTGGGAGTATATAGCCTTGATTCATCAGCCTCCCTTCCCTCTTGCGCTCCTACTTTCACCTCTGCAAGGTGCATTTATAAGAGATGTAGTTGCAAGCTACTTCCTGAACTCTGGGCAGCAGGTCACCTTGTTTCTGGAACAGGGGTTCCCACGGGCCTTGTGGATCCTGAGTGACATTGGCAGCCCTCCCCTTCCCCCATCACCCCAAACAGGAGATGCTCATTGAGACTTTCATTACTCCTGCTACCTTGTCCCCAAGGTATCCAAAATATCTTCCCAAGAATCATTTAAGGAGTTTATATGTTAGGGTCACAGAGTTTTGGAAGCTGATATAAGTGGATCTGAACACATACAAAAGCTGCTGTTACTACACCATCAGCAGGAGAGGGCTGGCTGGCAAGTTGTAGAAACAACTTAGCTGTAAAGCACAGGGTTCTGGGTGTGATGGGGCAGGGGCTGGCTTGATTGATCTTCCCTCTCTACCTTTAGGCTGATGCAGTGGCTCAGTCTGGGGGCTAGCAGTGTTGGTGGGAAAGGATGTCTTCCTTGGGGATAAGCCAGTTTACTCCTCCCCCACACATACTGGATTTCGAACAGTGAGAAGTAAGACAGGCTCTCTTATGCCAGGAGCCGGCCCCCCTCCCTCTCTGCCCTCCCATTGTATCCAGAGGCTCTATTTGGCAATGACAGAGACTCCTTTGCACCCTCTGCATTAAAATGCAAGGGGAAGCAGGGTTGCTTGTTGGCAGGAGGCCAGAGAGGGCTACCAGGTCACCTAGTCCTCCTGCAAGCTTCATTCTAGGCATGTTGTCAATTTCCTTTGCTGGGGCTCTGGTGGATTCTAGAGAAGTCTTGGCTTTAGTGTGCCGAGTTCATGGGGGTGGTTCAGGGGCTTTTTTTTTCCCCCACAGGGGTGGGGGGTGAGGGGGCTGGGATTCAGAGTGCACAGATATGAGCTCCAGGGCTTGAGAATTCCTCAGAAAGCCACAAGACCAGTCAGCAGCTATGTATGGCATTCCAGGGCTAACCCCTTTTAGCTTTAAGCAGAGATGGAGAACCCTGATGCATAGTAAGGAGTAAGCCACACCCTTCCTCTCCACTTTCAAAGAAGAAAGCAAGCAGCCAGTACTTTTCTGTCCTACAATCTGACAGCCGTGTGATCCCATGCCCCTTCTATACCGAGAAATCAGGCTTCAGGGCTGCTGTTTTAGAGTCACAAAGGTTTAGTATTAGACATAGGTTCAAGTCCTAGCTCTATTAGTCACTAACTGTAGTGACTTCAGATATGTTACTTCTTAGATGCTTAGTAAATGTTATTTCCTTCCAGATCTGGAGGCCAGGCAGATTCTACAATGGATGGAAGTCAGGCCACTGGCCTTGCTAGCTTTATTCCAATTTCCTAGGATAGCAACGCAACATAAAAACACAACATCACGCTCCACACTACCCTCTGGGAAAGAAGGCAGCTACAAGAAAGCAAGGAGGCTCAGGTACTTGCAGTGAATCTTATTAACAGCTTTCCTAGGGGCTGAGGAACACAGATTGTAATTTTATTTCTCATTCTAGCAGAAACGATCTTGCTAAACATTTAACAGACTAAAATTTATTTATTTACTTAATATTAACATTTAAAAATATTTCATTTACCTCAGTAACATGGAAGACAATTGAAGGTACTGTTAAAACACATAAAATCCAGAGCAGGTCAGGGCAGGAAAGATCCCAATCCCATTCCTAAGGTGGGGTGGAGGACCCGAGCCAGGATCCTAGGCCAGGCTCCTCCATTAAACTGAGACAGCCTAGAGATAAGAAAGCCTCAGCCTCATCCCCCTCACGGGACAGCCTTAACTGCTCACAGAAGAAAGAGCTAGATTGTACTGGGAACTGATTCCCAATAAGTCCTTGGGAAGGTCAGTTGGTTCTCTCTTCAATAGGTGGCTTAGCACTGTTCTGGAGAAGACAGAGTAGTAGTCTGGTGTTGGGAAGATGGAGACTTGAGGGCCAACATCCAACAAAGTTTCCCTTCCCTTTGAATAGCACGCTGTCCCTTTTTTCAACAGCAAGAAACTGGAAATCCAGAGGAGTCTTTATAAAACCCCTTCTGGATATAACCTGAAAGCATCTCCCAAGTCAGACTGGGGGTAGAGATGATGACTCAAACTTCAGTGGGTCTCTTCTTCGATAGGGGAGCAGCCAGAGAAGAAGCTGGTATTGCTGGCCAGAGCTCGTTTCTTTTTCTTTCCTGGGGCCTTATTTTCTTGGGATTCTGTAGCTATATGTTTTGACTCTAGGAGGTCAAGAGAGGAGGGAGCCAGAGTCGTCTTCTTTAATGGCACTTGCTCCACATCGCACATCTCTTTCAGGATCTAGGAAGGACAGACAGGGTATGACTAGATCTCTGCTAGAGGCAGAAGCTCAACCCAGCCTAGTCAATAAAATTGCACCTCATATACTCCCAGTAGTATGAGGTATCCCCTAAGATTGCTGTATGGGGGGAAAAAAAAAGACTAGCCTACACCCAATTCCCAGCAAGCTGATTGTACCTTTTTCCCAGCCAGAGATGCTGAGATGCAGAGATGGACACTAACACAGTTGGAAACACCCACCTACCTTGCTGTTGGGAGTGGCACAAACAGGGTTGAAGAAGCTCAATCCTGGGGTCACCTCTGTGGGATCCTCCAGTTTGAAGGAGCCTTCAGAGTCCTGGGTCCGCTCAACAGTGCCCAAGCTATCCTGAGAACCAGGCAGACAGGCATATTATAATTTCAGCTACCAGGGTTATAAAATTAGTCTGCTCTCCTTCAACTAGTAATACCAGCTACGAGGGCCTGATCAGTCAGTCTAAGCAAGTCTTAAGGAGACTCTGCTTGGGGAGCTTGCAGTGCTTAACATGCTTCTCCCCCCCAAAGGGATGGAGCAATGCTTGGAGGCAGCCTCTGAAGGCAAAGGAGTGGGTAGGAGAGCAGCACAGGACATATCACAAAGCAAGGTTTAAAACAAGACCAAGTCTTGGTCATTTCCCCTTTCCAGTCTGCAATATCCTTTGTAGCATCCTTCAGGATGTTATCCGTGTTAGTCTTCCTTTCAGATAAGGAAACTGAAGCCAAGAGAGAGACATTACTTAGGTAACAAGGCGATTTGGTAATAGAGCTTGAATTACAGAATTATAGACTGTTGTCATGGAAATAGCACTAGATTAAGAATCAGGCAGCCTGAGGTTTAATCTCAGCTGTCATGACCAGCTGTGCAATATTAAGCGAGTCACTTAAGCTTATCTCTGGGCCTTGGTTTTCTTCTCTGTAAAATGGAAGCATTGGACTAGATCAGTTGTTTTTACAAATGAAATCTTAAGAGAAAGCCCAATAAGTAAACAAGTAAAAAGCAAGTTGCTTTGGCTGTAACGGAGTCAAATCTGACTCAGGCCACTTCCCTCTGCCCAAGGAACTTCCATGGAACCACTAGAAGACTCTAGAACCCAATGAAAAACCACTGAAATAGAATCTTTAAGGTCCCCACTACTTCTACAATTCTTAGCCTGACCTCTAGCTTGTCACTTTAGTCCTCTGATGCTTACCTAGCTTAGAAGACTCTTTAATAGAAGACCCAGGGCAAAACTGTTCACATGTAAATGTTCAAGAAATGCATGATGAATGACTACTAGACGATGCTTGCTAGAATTACTGTTAATCACATAGAGAGCTGCAGTAATGAGCTTTTGCCATGGGCACAAGTATAGGCAAGTACAGGGATCTGACCTGCTTCATGCTGCTCTTCTCAGGGCACATTTTGTTTCCCTGAGTCTGCTATTCCTGGGAGCAATATACGGAGGACAGCTACAGTTAGCTTGGCTCACAACTGTGACTGTTCCCATGGAGAGGGTCTAATAACTAATGTCTCAAGATGTCAGAAGGATTAACTTCCTTTCTGGAAGCTACCACCTTAGCATGTGGCTCTTGCAGTTCCAGCTAAGCCTTTGGACTAGTTTGATCCTGCATGTCTATATGCCTATAAATACCTGTTTTTCTGTTTCTTTTCTTGCCTCAGAAACTGTACATCCAAGGCTGGGGTGGGGCATGTCATTTAGGCAAGGTAATCAGCTGCATTCCTGGGAATCTCCTGAGAAGGCTATGGGTTCTGAAGGCAGTGTGCAGAAAGGGGCTAGCAGGGGGGAAGAAGGATTGAGAAGTGAAATGTTTCTGTTTCTGGGTACAGAGGGATGGAGAAGTGTAGGAAGAGCTGTGCAGGAGACTCCATATTTCAAGATGGAAGGTAGAAGAAAAGGGCGGAAGCTAGTAGGAGGTCTGAAGGGATGGTGAGGAGCAACAGCATCGATCCTACCTTGCCTTGCTTTCGGTTCCTGCACTTTGTGGGGTCACAGCTGCAGTCCACACCACAGTCTGACTTTTGTTTCCTGCACCCACACTGCTTGTTCCCACACCAGCCCTTGCAGGAACACTGCAAAATAAGTTTGTAGAAAGACACAGTATGAAAGGGTTAGAAGATGAGTTTAAAGTACCCTCCCTTCATCTTCAAGACTTTCTAGATAAAAATTGAAAGTACCATCATTTTTACCAAGCTTCCGTCTCCTCAGTCCTCTCTTCTTTAGTGAAACAATGATCATCAAGAACCATCATAGGTTTACTAAGCACAGGTCATGCCAGATAATCCATTTTCTTTTTTAGATAGTATACTTAAACAGACACATCAGAGGGATGACATAATAATATAAGGCAACTGACAAAGACTCTCATGATAATACTATGGACAAAGTGAAGAACTGTGAGCTAGATGGTAGTATAGTTAGGTATATTTAAGGACTGGGTATAGTTGCTCAGTATCTTTAGATCTACCTAACTGTAGTTTCATCCAACTCACATTTCTACATTTTGTCCAGTGTCAGCCTAGGCTTTGTCCTTAGTACTTTAATCATTCAACATTTTAATAAATCATTGATATGAAATACAATCACATACATTTGTATAGCACTTTACAGTTTTCCCAGTACTTTCATATATAAGTCTCATTTGAATCTCATAGCTACTTTATAAGGTAGGCATATTTATCAGCTATAACAATGATACAAAGCTGGAAGGATGATTAATATGTAAGATAACAGAATCACAAATCAAAATATTTTGACAGGCTGGAATTATGGGCTGAATATAAAAAGAAAAAAATTAACAGGGATAAATGTAAGTTTGGTATTTAGGTTCCCCCAGATCAGCCATATAAATACAGGATGAAGGGAGATCTAGCTTAAAAGTAGTTTGTCCAAAAAGGGTCTAGGGATTTGAGTTGTCAGCAAACTTCATGAGTCAACAGTGTAAAATGGCTGTCTAAAAGCAAATGCAGTCAGGCAGAAATCTGGAGTTCAGAAAACATGGGGAGCAATTGTTTCACTGTACCCTGGGTCAGTCAGACCACATCTGAAATAATGCATCCTCTGTTTAGGGCACCATAATTTTTATTATGCATACAAAAGCACAGATAATGAAAAGCCCACTCATGTTCCCACTACTCTCCCTTAATAAGTAAAACACAGCTATAACTGAAGAGTCCTGTGTACCCTGATCCTATTCCCCTCCCTCCCTCCCAGAGCTAGACAGTCTTTGAATTAGGTGTTTACCATTTCCATGCATATCTTTTTTAAAATCACATGAGTTTCCATTTAAAAAATATGGAATTGTTCTACATGTTTTTAAGCTTTATAAATGGCATCTTATTATATACTGATACATGTAGCTCCAGTTCCATTTATTTTCACTCTATGAACATGCCACAATTCATCCATTCTCCTGATAGTGCCATTTTTTCACTTTTACAAACAATGTAGCAATAATAATAGCTAACATTAATGTGTGCCAGGTGCCGTTATAAGGGCTTTCCATGTATTAAAACCATTTAATACATAAGCATGCTTCCTTGTACACACATTGTGGAGTTCACTGTGTGTATGTGTTTAATAAAAAGGACATTAGACCAAAAAAGAGGTAGGTGACCAGATTATAGGAAATAATGTTATAAGAAAGAAAGTGAGATAGTATGTCTTGGAAAAGACAGGTGGCACATATCACAGAAATGATAGATTAGAACCAGAACAGAATTTAGAGACATTCTAAAGCCTGATTTGATGTACAAATCCCCTCTAACATTCAAAGCTCTAGTTATCCTGAGAATATGAATATTAATTTCTCAGGTACTTTGAATGTTATCAGGACGGACCAGTCCCTGGAGAAGGACATCATGCTTGGTAAGGTAGAGGGTCATCGAGAAAGAGGAAGACCCTCGACGAGATGGATTGATACAGTGGCTGTGACAATGGGCTCAAGCATAACAACGATTGTGAGGATGGCACAGGACCCGGCAGTGTTTTGTTCTGTTGTACATGGGGTCGCTGTGAGTCGGAACTGACTCGATGGCAGCTAACAACACAAAATATAACTTCTAACCACAGGGCCTAATTCTGCCATCTGGAATGACATAGGATAAGTTTAACCTCCCTTTCACAGCCTATCATTTAAACCCTGAGCATAATTTTCACTCCCTTGTCCCCCTCTGTCCAAATCCTCTCAAAGCTAGATATTAAATATACCCATCTTCTTTAACAGTTCCCCACATGACATGGTTCCCACGTATCCTCGCCACCTTGATTATACACCAGTTTGTCAAAGTTCACCTTTACTTGTAACATCCAGAAATAAGAAAAACTTTCCAGATGTGGTTTTGACAATTGTGAAGTAGACTGAGAACAAATACCTCCCTTTATGGACCCAATAGTTCTGTTAACGAGACCTAAAAATCACAGTAGCTTTTTTTTCTTGCAATATCTTTGTGGCTTCATACTGAGTTTGCAGTCAAACTCAAACCCTTAAATCTTTTACACATGAGAACTATCACTTTTGTTCTGTAGTTCTGAAGGTGAAAGAAACCATTATAATATCTTTTGTTTTCTGATTATGAGACTAATATATTTCACTGTACAAAATTTGAAAATATAGAAAAATAGAAAGATTTCATAATTTTTCTATCCAAAAGTAACCACTATTACCATTTTGGTGTATTCCTTTCCAGTCTTTTATCTATGCTATAAATTTATATATAATTTTGTTTTTTAAATTGGGACAATACAGTATTTTGCTTTTTCACTTAACATTATATATACTTAAGGACATGGGAAATATATTCTTCAAACGTATGTTTTTTTATAGTTGTATATAATATTTAATCATGTTGATATGTCATTTTATGTAACTAGTTCCCTAATATTAGATACTTAGGTTGTTTTGAAAAAAAAATTGCTATTATAAAAAATGTTGCAGTGAATATCCTTGTACATAAATATAATTAAAATCTTACCATGACTAACAAAGCTCTCTACCATCTGGCCCCTGACTACCTCTCTGACCTTATCTTGTATTACCTTCCCCCATTTATCAATACACTGCAGCCACACTGGCCCTTTTATCTGTTCCTTGACACACCAGGAGTCCTGGTGGTGCATTGATTAAGAGCTCTGCTTGCTAACTCAAAAGGTCAGCAGTTCGAATCCACCAGCCGCTCCTTGGAAACCCTATGGGGCAGTTGTACTCTGCCCCATAGGATAGCTATGAGTCAGAATCCACTTGATGGCAACGGGTTTGGTTTGGTTTTTTGTTAACACACCAAGCTCATTCGTACCCTGAGGTCTTTGCATTTGCTGTTCCCCTTTCCTGAAATGTTCTTCCTGTTTTCCTGATTTTGTTTCCTCACTTTGTTCAGACCTCACCTTAAATATCTCCTCCTTAGAGGCCTCTCTCAAGTACTCTTCTGAAGTACTCTTCTCATCCGGTCATTCTCTATGAGTTCACTATATTTTATTTTCTTTTTATTTCTTACCACTGTCTAAAATTATTTATTTTCTTGGTTGTTTCACGAGAATGTCAGTTTCATGAGGGCAAGGATCTTACCTGTCTTGCTAGATACAGTGCCTGGCACATAGTTACATGCTAAAAAAAAGATTTGTTGAATGAATAAATCTTTTTGCATACCAGTGACCATTTCCTTAGTATAAATTTCTATGTGTATAAGGAGCCCTGGTGGCACAGTGGCTAAAGTGCTCGGCTGCTAACCAAAAGGCTGGTGGTTTTAAACTACCAGCCGCTCTGCAAGAGAAAGATGTGGCAGTTTTGCATCCATAAAGATTACAGCATTGGAAATCCTATGGGGCATTTCTACTCTGTCCTGTAGGGTTGCTATGAGTCAGCATCTACTCGATGGCAACTTTTTTTTTTTTTTTTAATGTATATTTACTGGGTCAAAGGATTGGAACATTTTTAAGGCTTTTGATACATATCTTCAAGTTGCCTTCTAGAAAGGTATACCAATTTACATTCCCAATAGCAATAGACATTATAATAAAAATGTCTTATTCATACTTGCCAACACTGGACATTATAATAAAAAAAAATCTTTGCTGCTTTGAATAAGACAGGGCAAAAGATAGACCTCTATGACATGTCTTAGAGACACCCACTAGGATGACACTGATCCATTGATTGCTACAGCCTGGGTATGGTCCTTTGACCATTTACAAGTTCATCTAAATGCCTCAAAAATTCACTGTTACCCTGTCCGTGTTTCTTTATTTTGTTCAGAATGGTATCTGAAGGACTGTCATAAGGAAGAACAATTAGACTTTCAAATAGCCAAGACCTATGGGTTGATTTACAGGATAGCACATTTTCACTCAACAAGGAACAACCTTCTAACAATTAGTGGAATACAATGTGCTGCCCTGTGAGACTGTGAGCTCCCCGCTTCTAGAAGTTTTCAAGCAGAGACTAGATAAACACCTGGTAGGAGTGTTATAGAACTGTCATGACACACATGACAGATGTATTCACATGAATGCCATCTGCACTAGTTGTAACTTTATCTTGTTCTCTCTCACACCAGGAAGCAGATCAGAATATCAAAGGGAAAGTGTCCTTACCACAGACATAATCTCAGATAATATATATGTAGGGGCGTGTAGGGGCGTGTGTGTGCAACAACTGCTGACAATCCACCAGCATGTCCCAACACCATAGTTAAGAACCACTATAACATACTGTTTATATAGAGTGGGAAGCAGAACTGAAAGACCTCAAGGGTTTCTTTGAGTCAGTGGTTCTCAACCCTGGCTACACACAAGAAATCTCTGGGGAGCTTTTCAAAAAGGTCAGGTCCCACCTCAGACCAATTAATTCAGAAGATCTGGGGGTGGGGCCCCAGGCTTTCAGTGTTTCAAAGCTGCCTTGGGGATTCTAATGTGCAGCCTGGGTTAGAACTACTGCTTTAGAGTCTATAATTCTTCTAGCACTAATTTCAGTGTTACACTGTATTTCAGAATGATAAAATCTAGTGAAAATTTTAACATAAAGAATACCAGGCTAGGAATGAGGAGACTTAGGCTGTAGTCCTAGGCATGACCCTGGACAAGTCACTTCACCCAAGTATATCTCCATTCTTCCATCAGTAAGATAGGAGACAAGAATACCTGTTCTGTTTCTACCAAAGGGGACAAATGAGAATATTTACAAAATGCTTACAGTGTTTTAATAACAATACCTGCATAGTATTTTATCCTTCACAAAGTACTTTTGCATATATTCCTTCATTTAACTTCTCAGATACCATACAACACCATATAGAGTTGTATTATTAAAACCCATTTATATAACCTTGACTATTACTTTATAGGGTTGCTATGAGTTGGAATTGACTTGATGGCAATGGGTTTGGTTTTTTTTTTTTTTTGACTATTACTTTTGACTCAGAATATTAGCACTGGAAGGGACCTTATAGATTCTAGTCTAATCCCTTCATTGAATAGATAAGGAATCTGAGGCTCAGGGAAGTTAAGTGACTTGCTCAAGGTCACCCAAGTAACCAGTGGCAAACTCAAGACTAGAACCCATGTCTTCTGGCTTCTAAGCTATTACTTTTTCTACTATAGTACATAACCTACTGGTTAGCATCTTCCTTATAGAAAACATGGCTGAGTGAGGATACCTACTTTTTCAGAACTAAGTCTGGGAAAGTTATCATTCTGGTGTCTACTGCAGTCTCTTTTTCAGTAACCTAGTGATAATAGTAGCCAGCTTCAGCTAGGCTGATGCAATAATAATTAGGATGGCCTTCATGCAAAGCATCAGGGTCCACAGCAATTGTGTCTACAAGCAGTCTGACCAAAGGGCAGTCATAGCATCCATGTACTTTGAGGTTGCCAAAAGGGAGAAACTAGATTTTATGCCAACTTAATCCCCTTAAAAACCCACTTGCAACATTTGCTATAGTTTTATATTTCCCTTTCAAGCTTACAGCAACAGTGCTATAATAACTATAACAAACTTTCCTTTGAGGACAAGTACATCCATCTTTGTGTCAAATTAGGATGATTCCTTTCCTTTCCTTTCCAGGAGTTTTAGGTCCTCTACCATTTGTTTCTGTGTGTGCTTCTCAACTCTGCCTCCTATTACTTAACTGACCTTTAATCTACATTCAGCTTGAGCCTTCTACTTCAACCACAGTAAAAACCAAAACCAAACCCATTGCCATCAAGTCAATTCTGATTCATAGTGACCCTATCAGTCAGAGGAGAACTGCCCCATAGGGTTTCCAAGGAGCGCCTGGTGGATTCAAACTGCCGACCTTTTGGTTAGCAGCCATAGCTCTTAACCACTACGCCACCAGGGCTAGAGACTCATAAATGTTTGTTGAGTAAATGAATGAAAGATAGACATGTTCTGTCGCATTTTCTTCCCTCTGCCTCTCTACTACCATCTCTTAAGTCTTTGAAATATGCTATTCATCTTGTTGGAAATGTTCTCAGTTGTTCCCAAGAATTTATTTCTTTTTCCATCTTCTAATGCAGTAATAGTCCACCTCTTTCATGGCATCTTCCTAAACTATACCTACCTACTTGGTTTAGCTTTATAGTTTCGCTTTATATTGGAGTTATTATTCCCTGTCCTTGAGCGTAGAGAATGTGACTCAGCTGGAGCTGGGTTCACAAGGACTCACAAGGACACATCAACTGGGCCCTGAGGTATAAGGACAATAGCTAAGATAATCTTGGAAAATATCTTTTAAGGAAACTTTCACATAAAGCCAATCAAACAGAACACAAGAATTTCTACTCTTTTTCTGTTAGCATTTAGTGAATAGAAATTTGTTGGGCCAATGAAGACCCGCCCGACTCTTGTTACTGAAACCTGTACCAATGATTGTTAAGAAAGACAATTCAAGATGTAGGATCACAGTTTCTAGCCAATCTGAAAGTGATTTTGCCCATTTTTAATGTTAATATATACTGATGGCTCTGTAACTGTTTTTTGGACGCGGGCAGACATGGCTGTGGCAGCATGCTTGTCCGTTTTCCCATTCTTGCCTATTCTGTAATATTCTTTGGACTTGGGCAGACTTGGCTCTAGCAGCATGCTTGTCTGCTTCCCACTTCTGCCCTTTTGAATATATGCCGAATAAAACTTTCTTTTTGCTTCACTAAATTTTGTGATTTTTTATCCTACAACAATAGTCACTCTTAAAAACCCCTCAGTCCATCTCCCTGAGATGAATATGTTTAGGTTCTGTGGTATGCTTTTATTTCTTTGCCTTGTTTACCCATTAAATTATAAGATCTCTGAAGCTAAGGAGGCGCTCTTAGTCCCACAGCATGTGATATGACTACTGATTGACTAAATGACTTAACGCCAACATTACCATTTCTTTCATAAGACTTGCTTCTCTCTGGTGTTGTGGCTTTACAAGGTTCAGTTTCCCATGTGGTGAGCTATCAGCTAATGAAATCAAGTAACCTTCCAGGAAGGTAATTTGTGAACTGTTCTCTTTAAGCAGAATGTGGCTGCAAGGCGCAATTGAGATAGTTGTGGTAAACTACAATGCTTGGGAAGTTAATGTTTCAACATAAAACATCTAGGTTTGATAATCATGTAGGATGATTATTGTATAAGTAAATAAAGCAAGCCTCAGAGTTAGCTTGTTCCTAGCTAGCCTTAACTGGGTGTGTTTGATCTTAATTATTACGTTTTTCTGTAATTCCCTTTGCCCCTTAGCCTAGTGAGGAAAATCATTCTATTAGTCAAGGAAGATAAAGTTCCCACTCAGCCTCTGGCCTACAGTTTTTACTGACATGACCATGATGTGGTGGAAAGAAAGTGGACTTGGAGTCAGAAGATTTGGTTTGAAGTCCTGTCACTTGGTTTTATGACCTTGGGCAAGGTCATTTCCCTCCAGTGGGTCTCAGGTCCATCTGTAAAATGCAAATAGTAATAAATACCTAACTGGGCTTTTGTGAAGATTAAAAGGGATAACATATATGAGAATGGTCTATAAACTGTAAAGTGCTATAACAATGTGATGGATTATTATAATCACTTTGAAACCAGCCTCAATGAAATGGTATAGAACACTGCCTGTTCAGACTGGTAGAACCTAAAAACATGAAGACAGAGAGATTGTGCATTCAGGCAATCCTCTACACTAGCCCCAGGTTCTGCAGAGCTGACCAAACACCCCCCTTCCCCCACCTGTGAAGTCAATGCCTCTGAATGGGATTCAGGGGGCTCAGGTACAGGGTATAGGGCCCTCACATTCCTAGATTCAGAGAGCTACTATCCCACTATAGTAAAAGCTAATGATTAGAATCCCTGACAGAGTTGAGGAACTGGCTCCTACCCCTTGGATGTTCTTCCTGGACACCTTAACTAATTTTTCCGGCTTCCATTCCTCATCATCCTCATCGTCATCATCACCATCATCATCCTCATGCTCATTGACAGAATGCTCTGAACAATATTTTAGATCCTCGATGTCCATAGTTTGCTCCAAGAACTTTTCTTTAACACGGGAAGGTTTTGGCTAAGAAAAAAGGTTTGGAATGGTTATTTAATTAAAAATAAAAGGAAATACATATGGCATGATATCTTCCTCATAACTGTTGCCAGCTATATTCTTAGAGCAGAGATTTCGAACTCCCTCACATATACCCTACTTGGCTTTACCAACCAGAAGAAATTTTGCTTTAGCCTTTGGCCTCACAGAGTCTTTGAAGGGACAGAAATGGGAAGCTGAGCCAACTGAGGGAGGAAGGGAGGCGAGTCATGATATGATAAGTATCTTTGGATGGACAGCTGAACACTGTTCTTTTCTCCTGCTCCTCCTCTTCAACTGTGTTATATAACGCCTGTCCATGGCCAAAAGTCAGCCTTCTGAGGAGGGAAAATGCCTATTTTTCCTCAGAATTGTATACTGTACTTTTATCTGTGAATTCAAGGAAAACTGAAATGCTAGAATTTGGAAATTTAAACTCTCAACCTTTTATAAAAGGGTATTTTAGCACACTCATCACCCCAAACCTTGGCTATGAAAAAGTATTAGAGGCACTGAGCATTTTACCTTAGGTGGGATATATTCGAAAGAAGAGTCTGGAGATAGAAGGGTATCCTTAGGAAGATGAGGTTTCTGTCTGCTGGCTACTTTGAGAAGAGTCAGTTTCTATTTGAAAAGAAGAGACAAAGTGTATAACGCAGGGCAGCTCCTTAGAGTATTCATGGCTAAAACACAAAGATTCCAGATGTAGGCTGCATTGGCTAGCTTACTTTTAAACCATAGTAAAGTAAGGCAGGACTATAGTAGAGCCGGCTGAAGGACTCCTACTTTCCAAGATCAGTCTTAGATTCAGAAAAGGGCAAATTAAAAAATTTGTGTTAATACCATTTTGAAATGCACATGTACTATAACAGATGGAAATTCAATATAGACTTCATATAGTAGAGCCAAGTCATCATACTGAGGGTTGCTCCCAAGAGCTGGCCTCAGTAGTAACAGGGTGTCTCAGTTATCTAGTGCTGCTATAACGGAAATACTGCCAAGTGGGTGGCTTTAACCAACAGAAGTTTATTTTCTCAGTTTAGGAGGCTAGAAGTCCGAATTCAAGGCGCGGCTCTAGGGGAAGGCGTTCTCTCTCTGTTGGCTCTGGAGGAAGGTCCTTGTCTTTTCTGAGCTTTTGCTCCCGGGCAATCTTCATGTGTCTTGGCATCTCTCTTCCTCCATCTCTGCTTCCTAGCTTGCTTGTTTAATCTCTTTTATATCTCAAAAGAGACTGGCGAAAAATACACCCTACATTAATCCTGCCTCATTAACGTAACAAAGACAACCCATTTCCCAAATGGGATTATAACCACAGGCATAGAAGTTAGGATTTGTAACACATATTTTGGGGGGGGACACAATTCAATCCCTAACTCAGGGTTTCCCAGGGCTTGTCAATGGGTGGGAAACAGCATTACCTGTTTGATGATTTCATTCTCTCGAAGAAGCTGCTGGTTTTGTTCACACACTTCTCGCATCTTTTCAAGTTCTTCATCCTGTTTCCAATAGTGCAGTGATAGGTGGGGTTATTTTGGGCACTACATTCGGGTTACCAAACAACTCATATAGATGAAAACATACTGCTGCCAAGTTGCTGGCAGGAGATGGTTTTTGCACGGCAGTTACCAGCACCCAGAAAAATGTCTGATTCCCAGTTCCTAGGTGCACTGAATGTTGCGTTTTTCCAATGCTCCCAGCAGCCCTGACCGCATTCGTAGGAACCACAGTGTGATGGTTAAGATTGTGTGTCAACAGGCAAAGAAGGGAGTTACCGTACTGGCTGGTGTGATTGATCCTGATCACCAAGAGGAAATTAGATTGATATTATACAATGGAGGTAAAGAAGAGTATGTCTGGAATGCAGGAAATCCCTTAGGGCATTTCTCAGTACTACTGTGCCCTGTGATTAAAGTCAATAGAAAAACACAGCAACCCAATTCCGGCATGACTACTAATGGCCCAGGCCCTTTGGAACTCAAGGTTTGGGCTACCCCAACAGGCAAAGAACCACGACCAGCTGAGGTGCTTGCTGAGGGTAAAGGGAATACAGAATGGGTGGTGGAAGAAGGTAGCTGTAAATACCAGTTATGGCCACGTGACCAGCTGCAGAAATAAGGATTGTAATTGTTATGAGTATTTCTGTTTTGTGTGTTCATTGTATCATGTTAGGCGCAAGTACGACTTTATAATTGTCTTTATTCAGAGATTATGTATGGTTTAAGGAGATGTGTACAGGTGCCAACTTGACAAGGGGTGGATTGTGATGGTTAAAATTGTGTGTCAAATTGGCTGGGCCACGATCCTCAGTGTTTTGGCAGTCATATAATGTTGTGATCCCTTCCCTGTTGAGATTTGATATGTGATCACCCCTATGGTGGGATCTGCTGTGAGTAGCCAATCAGTTGAAAGGGAGTATCCCTGGCCTGTGGCCTGCATTGACTATAAGCAGATATTCTGGCAAGGCTTGGGGGCTTTTTGCTCACGCTGAATCCTGCAGCTGGCTCCTGTTCATCTGACCTCCGGTTCTTGGGACTTGAGCTAGCAGCCTACCTGCGGTCTTGCCTGCCAATCTTGGGATTCATCGATCTTCACAGCCTGTGAGCAAGAGCCTTCCTCTCTGACCTGAGGATCTTGGGTTTGCCAGCCCCTGTGGCTACGTGAATCAGGAGAAACCTCTATCCTGACCCAGGGACTTGGGACGTTCCAGCCTCTACAACTGCGTGAGCCATTTCCTTGATATAAATCTCTTTCTCTTTCTATATATGCTTTACTGGTTTTGCTTCTCTACAGAACCCAGCCTAAGACACATAGGCTCTACCCTGCATGCCTTCATTTATTCTTTTCCATCCTCTAGCCTGACATCCCTTATTTACATTAGGATGCTGATTAAGAAACCCACAGAGTCAGCTCTGTTTCCTTGAAGTCTACCATGCTTCTGTTCACTCTTCTGAACATAGACTAGGCAGTTTATTTGATACCCCAATAAGCCTGATTAAACTTCCTGGCACCTAAGACAACTAGATTCATGCATATAACCTTAACTAGTCTGGTTATGTCTTAGATGGGATGTACCAAGGAAACTTTAGAGACTGGTGGTTTAGGAAAAAGATTCTGAGTTGGATTAAAATAGTGCTCCAACATGTTACTAAATGGTGTGGTGTTCCTAGCCTCTGGAAGAAATTCAGACCCCAGGCATTTTACAGACATGCCAGGTCTTAGCTAAGAACAAGCTCAGAAAGGTAGAGTTGAATGCTACTAGAATTTTAAATAACTACTAGATAATTTCACTTCCTCAACTATTTAGAGCTCAAGATTGAGGCAAAGAATCAGGAGGCCTCAAAGTCTGGAATAGAGTATGTACTGCTGTTTCTGTACAAAAATCTAGGTTATTGTATGTGTGGCTATACTCTAAGTAGCCCTAAACTGATCAAACAGGGCCAAATGGCAGTAGAGGCTACCGCTATAAACCCTTTTTTTATTAGTTAATTACTCTCTGTAGTGAGTGCAATGGTCTAAATTAGACAGGATTCTCAGTCAGGCCTGTGGAACTCATCTCTGGAGGCCTTTCCCCTCATTATCATACCTGACACTTCAGTGTGTTCAGCAGTTGTTGTTCCTTTTCACTGACCGACTCCTCTAGCTGCTTCTCTGACATTTGGCTTTGCTGCAACTGGCTGAGAAGGTATAGCACCTAGAGGAAGATACAACCCAATGAGTGGTAACAAAGGAATAAAGGAATTTCAGTTTAGTCCAAGCAGTAATCCAGATGACTCTTCTGTGACTTAGAAGTAAAATGTTCCCTTTTGCTGTCATGGCTTGAAGTAGTAAGCATAGCCACGACGTTTATCAGCAAGTAATTTCGAAAACTTAGACAAGTAACTTCTCTTTCTGTTTCAGATTTCTTATTTGCAAAATTTGGAAAAAACCACATGGCCTTTTGAAGGAAATGTCACACACTCCCATTATTTTTTTTAAACTAACAACAAAAGGCAATGACAGTTTGTCTCTCAGTATAGCTTCTTGGTTTGCCAAAGTTTACCTTCTCTTGGTGCCGTTGTTCCACCCTGACCAGCTCAGACTGTAACTCTGTCTCCATCTCAGCAAAGTGATTTCGTTCCTCAAACAGCATCTTCTGCATGTCAGCACAGCTGGCCTTGCTCTGTTTCAGGCTGCTTTCAAGCTTGCTGACCTGTATTTTGGAGGAGACCAGCTGGAAGGGATAAAAGAAGATCAGTTTATTTACAGAATGGCCACCTTTTCTCCATTCATTAGGCAGGAAAATGTCATTTTTCTTGAAGTGGACTGAGAAATATCCCTCAGGTTCAAGTCCATTCTTATATTTTCATGTCACATGGATTTTAACATTAAATAGTAACAACATTATTATACTATCCCAGACCAAGAGCCCACATTTCCGCTGAGATAAATATCTTAGGACTATGACGTCCCTGGGTAGTGCAATTAACACACTCACTGCTAACTGAAGATTGGAAGTTTGAATCTACCCAGAGACGCCTTAGAAGAAAGGCCTGGCTATCTACTTCTGAAAAATCAGCCATTGAAAACCCTATGGAACACAGTTCTACTCTGACACACATAGTGTCACCATGAGTCAGAGTCGACTCCACGGCTCTTGGCCACCACTAAGGTCTTTTAATCTCTTGCTTTGCCTCTAGGCAAGAACAGATCTAACACAAACAGTATCTGACAACTTCAAACTCTTGATACTTAAGAAGTTCTTCCTTGATTTTAAAGGGAAACCCTCAGGACACAATCTTATGACCATCTCAATGTCTGTGTTCACATGTCAACTCGTAGACACATTAGCTGAGACTGGAGAGCTGGCTCTTCAGGCTAGATTGATAACCTATGCTGGCCTAGTTTTACATTCACTACTAGTCCAGATGGTGAACATCATAAATACTGTTGACAAGACTAATCAAAATTTTCTTAGGAGGGCAAATCTGCTAACCTAACACAAAAATGTATAAAGGGTAGCTTTCTCAAACTTGCAGATACAGAGTTTGTATGCTTGTCTCAAGTGAAAACGCCTGGATCACCAGAGGTGATCAATCAACTTTAATTCCTCTTGTGGTGATGTAAGATGATATATTATTTTAAGGTTAGTGAAGATGGGTTTTCCTTAAAAAAGATTATTAGCTCTTCTATTTTCTAGATTGTATCTTAAATTTTTGAAACTATATTTCATAGGTGTTTTAAAAAGTAGTACAAAAATCTGTTTCATGAGTACTGCGTTTCCTTTTGGGGTGATGAAAATGTTCTGGAACTAGATAGAGGTGATGGTGCACAACATTGTGAACATACTAAATGCCACTGAATTGTTCACTTTAAAATGGTTAATTTTATGTTATGTGAATTTCACCTCAATTAAAAAAAGGAAAAAAAATGTAGTACAATATAATAGTTTATATGTTTAACCTGTGGCCCACTATGTCATCCTAATCTTGTAATAATAACTGCTAACATTTATTGAGTACTTGCTATATGCCAGGCACGACAGGTATATATTTACAAGTCATATTATATTTTTGTAAGCAACTGGCTTGTATTTGCTTCCACCAGCCTTTATCCATGAAATCACTTTTCTAATGTTAGTGCCACTGTGGTTTCTACCATGAAAAGTGGCAATACTACTGCAACAATATTCCAGGCAAATATCTTATTTCAACCTACCCAGCCATACCCCTAATTGCTGGTAGGAACAGTGATGTTTACCTCTCCAGTTAAATATTTCAGGGCACACTTGGCTTCCATAATAGTCGTAATATTCTCCCAGCGGTGTTTTGGCCTGTCTTCACTTTCTGCATCCAGCAGCTTCTGCTGCAGGTCAGCAATTTGCGCACTCCTTCAGGGAAAGAAACAGTGAGCCTTACTGTAAGTAGCCTCAAGATCAAGGAGAAGTGAAGAGCTCTGAGGATAAACTTTAAATAAATAATTTTATTGGTGGAGATATCAGTTAAATATCATTTAAACAGTGATTTAGTCATCTGGTTAAGATTTTATATAGTATCTCAAATCCTGTTACAAGGGACTCCAAGATACTATCCAAATGGTTTTATTTTATCAAATACTGAAATAAATGAGTCACATAGTGGGACTTGGAAAGATTTGTTATATTAAGGCTTTCGTTGTAGTGGATTGGCTGTAATGTAACTTCGTCTTGAGACCATATAAGCTCAGACTATGATCTGGCCCACTCATGCAAGGATAAGATTCAGGTTGGAGACCGGAAACATAACAAAAGAACAAACAGGCAGATGCTTTTTGTGGGAATCAAATATCAAATTGATACCTTCAGTTGGTGTTGTGAGAGGTTATCTTGGAAAGTGCCTGCCACAGAACCAAGAAGTTTCTAAGAAGACTAGATACCCTGACCCTGGTGATACCTTCAAGGTACTTTCGATCAAGTATGGCCTGAATCTAAAGTCTACAAAACATTTTAGTTTCATTAATAGCTTCTTCTCAAATTCGCTTTGTGTCCAGTGAGAGGCAACAAATTAGCATGTGCTTAACATGCAGCACTACGTTAGGTATTTCAGGTAGTCCCCGAGTTTGACTTATTCAGGTTACCATGACCCACACTTAATGACCATCTATTTGGTGTTTTATGTACATCTTATCATTAGTAATATGTACTACATACAATGTTGCAGCACATAATTTGCTGATGTCATCATTCTCAGATGTTCACTCACAGATGTTCCAAGATCGGATTTACAAAGATGCTGATAATAAAAGGCAATTACAATGAAAACTAAAGAAAAAAAAAGAGGTAGTCAACTTATGTCAGAACCGAGTTACAACGGATTCATTGGAATGGAACCTGCTGTAAGTCGGGGACCACCTGTATAAGGAAGATGGGTACAAAAATAGTCTAAGACAGTAGTTCTCAAAGTTTTGGGTCTCAGGATCCCTTTACATTCTTAAAAATTATTGAGGATCTCTAAGAAATTCTGTTCACATATGTTGTATCTACAGATATTTACAGCATTAGAAAGTAAAACTTAGAGAAATTTAAAATATTTATTTATTCACTTAAACAATGAACTCGTTATACATTAATATAAATAACAGATTTTATGAAAAATAACTATTTTCCAAACAAAAAAAATTAGTGAAAAGAGTGGAATTGTTTTACATTCTTGCAAATCTCTGTAATGTCTGGCTTTAGTAGAAAACAATTGGATACTCATTATCTCCCTCTGCATTCCATCTTTTGGGACATGTTTTGGTTGATGTATATGATGACAATCTGGCCTAACACAGATATGTAGTTGGAAAAGGAAGGAATGTTTTAATAGCCTTTTCAGGTAACTGTAATATTCTACTTTGAGACTATACCAAAACTCAACAAGTGGTAGTTTCTTAAAGTCAGTTGCAATGTGGAAACTGAAATTATAAAATTTTCATATTCTCTTATATTAAAATCCATTGATCTATCTTGAAATTTGAATGAATCTTTTACCCACACATGATTTTGTAACATGTCATTTGGAAAATACTGGTCCACTATAGGGTCTCTATGAGTCAGAATTGACATGACAGTGTTTTTTTTTTTTTTTTTGGGGGGGGGTGTCATACAAATCCTTTAAATGTTAACACATTTCATTATACAGTATAAACGATCACATTTGTTAATATCATCACCAGTCTTATCAGAAAAGTTATGGAAAACTGTCAAGCTCATGGTGGTAGATACAAGTTTTCCAAAATTCTAGTTTTTGCTTGAAAGTTTGAATTTTATCTTTGGTAACAAATACTGTCAGCTGTTTTCCTTGAAGTGACAGGCCCACTCATTCATTTTTGAGAAAACGTCTGCCAAATACCCAAGTCTGAATAATCATAGTTTGTTGGTCAGTCATTCTTTCAAGCGAAAACAATGTTCCAGGAAACAAGAGGCCTGTTGAGTTCACACCTCAAACAATAGCATGTGCTTTTCCTTGAAACAATCATCATACTTTGGGATGCAGCAGAAGTGCTTTATGGGGCGGGGCCAAGATGGCGGAATAGTCAGATGCTTCCTGTTGTCCTTCTTACAACGAAGACCCCCCCAAAAAAGTGATTCAAATATATATGACAATCTAGGAGCCCTAAAGATCAAAGACAAAGCTAAAGAATTGACTGAATAGCAGGTGGAAGGAGAGACAATTCAAAAGCAGTGGAAATGGGGAACTACAGATCACAGGATCGCCAGTGCCCTGCTAGCTTAGTCTGCATAGCACACACGGGCTGAAGCAAGCAGCAACATTGCAAGCTGAGGCCCACCACATCTGGTGCAACCAAGCAGTAGCAAATCTGCATGTACCTCCAGAACCAAACAGGAGTGACAACGGACCTGAAAAAGTTAAGTGCAAGCTCCCAACCTACCTCCTGTGCTGGCAAAATAACCCCTCCCCCCACCACAGCTTCACAGCGGAGAAGCACTCCCTTCCCCTCACCCATCCCCTACCCAGCTCCAAAACCAGTCCTGTGGCATTCAACATTGCTGTGCCCCCTAAGCCAGGAACTCAGGGCAGGTCGAGAGGCCCTTGCCCTTCAGCCACTGATGTATAGGGTCCATGCACCTGCAGCACCCTTCGGCACCCCCCCCCAAGTCCCTCGTGAGCCAATTCAACATCGCATGCCCTCATTAGCATAAAACAACAAGGCATAAACCTGAAGCCCATTTTCACCTGCAATGGCCAAGGAAGAGCTGCATATTTGTGACATTCAACACTGTGCTGCCCCCTAAGAAGGGGCCTCACCCACCCACACCGGGGGCCTGAGGACTGCTGGTACCACCCACTCCATCTTGTCACCCACGACAAGGGTCTGAGAATTAACAGTGCCTCCCAATACCTCCAGCCAATGGCACTGGGTGCCCAAGGACTGGCTGCCCTACCTCCCAACTACGTGCTCTAGTGGACAGGGACACGCCCTCTATCCAGGCACCTGGGGGCAGCCGACAGCCCCTGCCTTGCCTCACACATTGCTCCCCAATGCAGCCAGAGACCTGTGACTGCTCCAAACACCTCCACGCAGCCCTGACTGCCTAGGACTGTAGGTGAGAGTCTGCATCACACACTCAGTGACCAGCGACCTGGAAACCTGTGCCCTTAATAACCACACCCCCCACCCCCTGCAAGAATAGTGAACAGACTCCTGGGCTCACACATCTAGAAGCTGTTCTGACCACCTGGAGACAGGAAGTGAGAGCTTCAACAATGTCAACAACCAAAGTAGCACACATGCCCAGCATATTTGGACATATCAAAACAAAACAAAACAAAAATACAGGACATAGTAGACAAAAATACAATGAATAAAAAATAAATATATAATAACTTATTGATGCCTCAGAGACAACAGTCAATATCAAATCACATAAAGAAGCAGGTCAAGATGGCTCCAGCAAGCAACCAAAATAAAGAATCAGAAAACCTTCAGGGAGAAGACAGGGCAATGGAACTACCTGATAAAGAATTCAAAAAACTAATATACAGAGGTCCCCAAGTGATCAGGAAGGAGATTATTCAAAACACAGAGAAAGCCAAGGAACACACAGATAAAGCAGTAGAAGAATTCAGGAAAACAATACAAGAAGAAAACAACAAACAGGCAGCTAGAAACCATACAGAGACAGCAACTAGAAATCCAAAAGACTAACAATAAAATTTCAGAATTAGAAAACTCATTAGAAGGTTATAGGAGCAGAATTGAGACAATGGAAGTCAGAATTAGTGAAATTGAAGATAAATCCCCTGACACCAATTTGTTTGAGGAAAAATCAGAAAAAGAATGAAAACAAAATGAAGAAAGCCTAAGAATTATATGGGATACTATCAAGAGGAAAAACCTACAAGAGATCAGAGTACCAGAACAGAGGGGTATAACAGAAAACACAGAGAGAACTGTTGAAGATTTGCTTGCAGAAAACTTCCCTAATATCATGAAAGATGAGAAGATATCCATTCAAGAAGCTCAACGAACCCCATACAAGATAGACCACAAAAGACAAGACATATAATAATCAAAATTGTCAAAACAAAAGACAAAGAAAGAATCTTGAGAGCGGCTAGGGATAAACGAAAAGTTACCTACAAAGGAGAACCAATAAGACTAAACTCTGATTACTCAGCAGAAACCATGCAGGCAAGAAGGCAATGACATATATAAAACCTTGAAGGAAAAAAACTGCCAGCCAAGAATTATGTATCCAGCAAAATGGTCACTCAAATATGATGGCAAAATTAGGTCATTTCCAGATAAACAGCAATTAAGAGAATTTGTAAAAACTAGACTAAAATTTTAAGAAATATTAAAGGCAGTCCTCTGGTTAGGGAACCAACAACATCAGACAATAATCCAAGCTAAGGATGCAGAACAGATTAACCAGTTATCAACTCAGATAGGGAACTCACAAAAACAAATCAAAGCTAAAACACTGAAAATAGGGAACCAGAGAAGTCAATATATAAATGATGACAACGTCATAACAAAAAAAGAGGGAATAAATGGTGTAGTCATAAAACTTCCATATGGAGAGGAAGTTAAGACAATATCAAGAAATAAAAGACTGGTTTAAATTTAGAAAAATAAAGGTAACTTTCAAGGTAACCACAAAGAAAGCTAGCAAACCTACCCATTAAAATGAAACCAAATAAAAACAAAGATTCAGCAAACACAAAATCAACAATAATGAAGGAGACAAAAAGAAAATACATAAACAAAAAGAACTCAGCACAGAATATTAAGTGGAACAAAGAAACTGTCAACACCACACACACAAAACATCGAAATGATAGCAGTAAATTCATACCTAACAATAATTACACTGAATGTAAATGGCCTAAGTGCACCAATAAA